ACAACGTTCTGCTACACATCGGCTGGCATGAAGTAGACCGAGACAGCCTATTGCGAGACTGCGGGTCAATATTACTTTTTTGTTGTCGTAACTAAGCAATGGGTAAACAAAACACGTCAATATCGACTGTGTGTCATCATCAAAACTTACACATACACTGCCTTAGCAGAATAGCCATTGCCAACACAGCATGAAATATATGTATGATCTTACCATGGTTACGTTGTTTATTATGACAACAGTTCATTTAAGATATGAAAGTGTATCTAAATCTTAATGACATTTATTCTTTTATCAAGTTATGCCTTTGTATCTTACTGTTGGAAGACACGCGTTTTTTATTGATAGAAAATGGAAGATGTATTCTATGTACTAAACGTATTTAATGAACAGTACGCAAATTATCATACTACATCAATATACTAGTATATCTATCGTATCTTAGATCTAAGAAGAGTGGGAGAATTTACACATGCATTTCGACCGTGATAGCCTATATCTGATTAACGTGTATGTGTGTATATCACATTCGGAGCTTTGCCACCAGCAAGTACAACGTTCTGCTACACATCGGCTGACATGAAGTAGGTCGAGACACCCTTTTGCGAGTCTGCGGGTCAATATTACTTTTTTGTTGTCGTAACTAAGCAATGGGTAAATATAACACGTAAATATCGACTGTGTGTATAAATCTAATTGTAAAGATGACTGCGGGGGTCGATAAGTTGGATTGTCTAAAAGTCGGGCCAACGGGTAAAAACGAAACGTGCATGACTAGGCAGATCTCAAATGTCCATAAACGTATTGTTTTGCTGTATAAATCGCGTTTGAATCAAAATGTATATTGAACAATGTAATAAAGTAATAATTATGACTACATACCGAGAGTCCTCGTAGAAAAGTCAGAGTCTTGACTGAGAAGGTTTGTCACCGGTGTGGGTGTTAGGGTGTTAGGGTGTGATGTCCGGGGCAGGAAATGACAGTGCTTTGACTACTTTTCTTTCATTTATTAACGTATATGGCTTCCCTAATTAACCTATACTCATTCTTGATAAACCAACACAGGATGTCTTCTGGGAGTGGACATTCGAGAATGTCGAGCAGCTGACACGACACGTGTAGAAAGTATAATAACTGTTAAAGCACCTTTAAAGTTACTTAAAGTACTTTACGTCTATAGACTAGTATTCTGGCTACCTAAATACCACTTTATAGTGTCTCAGATTGAAAGAAATCACGGTGCTCAAAGTGAAGTCTTTTTAACTCTACATTCTCAACATAGTTTTATCAGAAGTGTTTCTTCAGTGTTGGGTCCGACTTGGCTCGGGCTGTCAAAATCAACTTTAACCTCATAGATGTATCATCAAATGTGTTTACAACAATAGACTAGTGTTATATCTACCTATATACCACTTTATAGTGTCTCAGATGGCGATATTTAAAGAAAACACGGTGCTCAAAATGAAGTCGTTTTAACGCTACATTCTCAACATGGTCTCTATCAGAAGTGTTTCGTCTGTGTTGCGTCTGACATTGGCAAGGCTGTCAAAATCAACTTTAAACTCACCAAATGTGTTTACATCTATAGACTGGTATCATGTCTACCTGTATGCCTCTTAATTATGCCTCGGATCGCAGTGTTTAACTAAACCATGGTGCTCAAATTGAAGCCCCTTTAACTTTATATTCTCAACATATTCTCCCTGAGAAGTGTTTGGTCTGCATTATGTCCGACTTGGACTGGGTTGTCAAAATAAACTTCAAACTCTACGATGTATCATCAAATTGTTTACATCTGTAGAATAGTAGTATATCTGACTGCCTCTTGACTAAATGCCTCTTGACTGCCTGCCTGCCTGCCTGCCTGCCTGCCTGCCTGACTGACTGACTGCCTCTTGACTGACTGAATGCCTCTTAACTGCATGCCTGCATGCCTGCCTGTCTGCCTGACTGACTGACTGACTGCCTCTTGACTGACTGACTGACTGACTGACTGACTCTTGACTGACTGCCTCGTGACTACATTACTGCCTGACTGACTCTTTACTGACTGACTTACTGACGGCCTCTTTACTGACTGACTGACACTTGGTTGACTCTTGGCTGGCTCTTGACTTACTGAGTGATTGACTGACTGACTGACAGATTCTTGACTTTCTGCCTATTGACTGACTAACTGACTGCCACTTGTTTGACTGACTGACTAACTGCCTCTTGACTAAATGACTGACTCTTGACTGACTGACTGCCTCCTGACTGCCTCCTGACTGACTGACTGCCTGCCTCTTGACTGACTGATTGACTGAAAGCCTCTTGACTGACTGACTGCTTCTTGGCTGCCTCTTTACTGACTGACTGACTCTTGACTGACTGACTGACTCTTGACTGACTGACTCTTGCCTGCCTGCCTGCCTGCCTGCCTGCCTGCCTGACAGACTGACGAACTGACTCTTGACTGACTGACTGACTGAAAGCCTATTGACTGACTGACTGACTGCCTCTTGACTGACTGACTGCCTCTTGCCTGCCACTTGACTGACTGACTGACCTTTGACTGACTGCCTTGTGACTGACTGACTTAATGACTGACTCTTTACAGACTGACTCTTGGCTGACTCTTGACTGACTGACTGACTGACTCTTGTCTGACTGCCTCTTGACTGACTGACTGACTGCCTTTTGACTGACTGACTGACTCTTTGCTGTCTCTTTACTGATTGGCTGACTCTTGACTGACTGACTGACTGACTCTTGTCTGACTGACTCTTGGCTGACTGACTGCCTCTTGACTGACTGACTGCCTCTTTACTGACTGACTCTTGTCTGACTCTTGACTGACTGACTGACTCTTGTCTGACTCTTGTCTGACTGACTCTTCACTGACTGACTGACCGTCTCTTGACTGAGTGACTGCCTCATGATTGACTCTTGACTGACTCAGTCACTCAGTCACTGACTGACTGACTGCCTTTTGACTGACTGACTGCCTTTTGGCTGTCTCTTTACTGCTTGACTGCCTCTTGACTGACTGACTGACTCTTGAGTGACTGACTTACTGACAGCCTCTTTACTGACTGACTATTGACTGACTGACTGCCTCTTTACTGACTGACTTTTGACTGACTCTTGACTGAATGACTGACTCTTGGCTGACTCTTGTCTGACTGACTCTTGACTGACTGACTGACCGTCTCTTGACTGAGTGACTGCCTCATGACTGCCTCTTGACTGACTCAGTCACTCAGTCACTGACTGACTCACTGACTGACTGCCTCTTGGCTGACCCTTGACTGACAGACTGCCTCTTGACTGACTGACTGACTCTTGACTTCTGGACTCTTGACTGACTGCCTCTTGACTGACTGACTGAGTGCATCTTGACTGACTTACTACCTCTTGACTGACTGACTGCCTCTTTACTGACTGACTGATTGACTGCCTCTTGACTAACTGACTGACTCTAGGCTGTCTCTTTACTGACTGATTGAACTCTTGACTGACACACACACACACACACACACACACACACACACACACACACACACACACACACACCAAGTCAATGAGCATGACCACCTTATCCATTCAGGCGCCTCTCACGACCAGCATACGGGAATGGGTACAGGTGAGGGTATGTTTGAGGAATAGGGTGTGGGTGAGGGTACTGTGTAAGGGTGTGGGTGAGGGTTCGGATGTGAATGAGCGGTTGTCAATGAACGTTTGGATGTGTTTAAATGAGCGGGTGTGTTGAGGGGTTTGAGTAAGCTGCTGTGAGCAGAGGGCTGGATGTGGAAATGGATGCGGTTGTGTGTACATAGGATGTTTGTACGCGGGGTGGGGGTGGGGGTGGGGGGGGTGGGGGTGGTGGTGTAATTTCAATGTTATTTTCATAATTATTATTAAATGTGGTGTGCATACATACATATAACATATGGCTTTTATGAGTCTTTTAGTGTCTCGTATGCCATTTTGACAGGCAGCTGAGATTTTAATTCTATATTAAAGTATATAGAGAATACTACACATTTTTACGAAACGAGTGGACTTTCTATGGTATCTGACCGAGCGAAAGCGAAAATGGTATCTAACGAGAATGAGTGTGGTATTTTATTTATTACCCACGTTAAATATATATATTTAAGTGTAAAATACAAAACAACTTTCGTTTGTTGACAAACCAAACTGAAATCGTTTGCAAAATCTGGTTGCGTATAAATATTGATATATGCCTAAATATGGGCATTGTTGACATTTCTATGCATACGCATAAACAACATGCGCCTGCAGTTATATTTGCAAAGAAAACAGCACCGAATATAACAAGGTCAAACTTGTACGACACACGTGTGACGTACGGATTTAGTATCTTACCACCTGCATCTTCACCACGTGGGTAATAAATTCATTTATTATGCGGCAGATTCCTTTTGTCAAGCGAATGCTCATGGGGTTAGAAACCATTTTCATCCCGGTGAATGGATCAGTCAATGTGAATTCTCAGCTCTCTGGGGGGTACATACACAACCTTCCAACCTGCCCGTGAGGCGTTAGAAGGATACAAGTCATATTCATCCGACCGAGAGAGAGATAGAGATAGAGAGAGAGAGAGAGAGAGAGAGAGAGAGAGAGAGATAGAGATAGAGAGAGGGAGAGAGAGAGATAGAGAGAGAGAGAGAGAGAGAGAGAGATAGAGATAGAGAGAGGGAGAGAGAGAGAGAGAGAGAGACAGAGAGAGAGAGAGAGAGAGAGAGAGAGAGAGAGAGATAGAGAGAGGGAGAGAGAGAGAGAGATAGAGATAGAGAGAGGGAGAGAGACAGAGAGAGAGAGGGAGAGAGAGAGAGATAGAGATAGAGAGAGGGAGAGAGAGACAGAGAGAGAGAGATAGAGAGAGGGAGAGAGAGAGAGAGAGAGAGAGAGAGACAGAGAGAGAGACAGAGAGAGAGAGAGAGAGTGTGTGTGTGTGTGTGTGTGTAAACCACACAGTTTCCTATTTGATGTATAGACAGGGGATGCATGTTTCCTTTATATTACACGAATGGCTGCAGACACCATTTACCTTGTTGCTAGTTGTCGCATCAGTCTTGATCGCAGTGACGCACTGATCGATAACACAGCTGTGATGAGTGACGTTGTCAAGCGAGGTAGGAAAATCAATATACAGGTGTAATCAGCTCCTCGGTTCCAGGAAGCAAAGGCCGCCGTCCCCCAGACCGCGTCAGACTTCAGCAGACTAGGGAGAAGCATACGTCGTTTGACCAGGAACTGAAAGGTAATATTCAGACACATCATCAAAACTTACACATATACTGCCTTAGCAGAGTAGCCATTGCCAACACAGCATGAAATATATGTATGATGTTACCATGGTTACGTTGTTTATTATGACAACAGTTCATTTATGATATGAAAATGTATCTAAATCGTACTGATATATACTTTGTTATCAAGTTATGCCTTTGTATCTTACTGTTGGAAGACACGTGTTTTTTATTGATAGAAAATGGAAGATGTATTTTGTGTACTAAACGTACTTAATGAACAGTACGCAAATTACCATACTACATCAACATACAAGTTTATCTATCGTATCTAGGATCTAAGAAGAGTAAAAAAATTTACATATGCATTTCGACCGTGATATCCTATATCTGATTAACGTGTCTGTGTGTATATCACATTCGGACCTCTGCCACCAGCAAGTACAACGTTCTGTTACACATCGGCTGACATGAAGTTTGCCGCGACAGCCTATTGCGGGTCAATATTACTTTTTTGTTGTCGTAACTAAGCAATGGGTAAACAAAACATATCAATATCGACTGTCAGTGGTCGATAAGTGGGATTGTCGAAAAGTCGGGCCGGGCAAGGCCAACGGGTAATACTAAAAACGGATTTGAGAATAATAAAACGAAACGTGCATATCTCGGCAGATCTCAAATGTCCATAAACGTATAGTTTTGCTCGATCAGTTGCGTTTGAATCAAAATGTATATTTAACAATGTAATACAGTAATAATTATGACTACATACCGACAAGTCAGTGTCTTGACTGAGTGTTTCGTTGATGAGAAGGTTTCTCACCGACCTTTGCATGTTAGGGTGTGATGTGCGGGAAATGACAGTGTTTTGGCTACTTTTTTTGACTGCCTCTTTACTGACTGACTGATTGACTGACTCTTGGTTGACTGACTCTTGGCTGACTGACTGACTGACTGACTCTTGACTGACTGACTGACTGACTGACTGACTCTTGGCTGAGTGACTAAATGACTGACTGACTGCCTCTTGACTGACTGCCTCTTGACTGCCTCTTACATGACTGACTGACTGACTGCCTCTCGCTTGACTGACTGACTGCCTCTAGGCTGTCTCTTTACTGACTGACTGCCTCTCGACTGCCTCTCGACTGCCTCTCGACTGCCTCTTGACTGACTGACTGTAACCAGTCTAACTAGTTGGTGACACAAGCCCTTCTCTTAGGCTGGTTTGTCTCCCCTTGTGCGCTTGCGCTCTTCGTCGCGTTACTTGTGCCACCACAAGGAGGCAAAGAACAGAGCACCAGTCTAAGCCGGGCCCCGTCTCTCATATCACAATTTAACCTTGGCGCAAGTTGACGATGCGCCTAAGGAGCCTGTAACCAGGTTAGGTACCAGTCAATCCTGGATGGGGGAGCAGCGACATCAATCGAAGGATGCGGGAAACAGTGTGCACTAGCGCTGTGCAGGAGCTTCCTTCCTCTATTTGATTACTTGGTAGAGCCGTGAACGAGGCATCACTGTGAGGAGCTTGGATATACAGCTATATTTAGAAATGTATTTTTCCAGATGCGATGTTGGTGACTGATGTAACGAAATTAGCGTATTTTTGAGGGGGTATACGGCCGGAAAACTCACCTTTTGCCATAAGCATTGCATTGAGTCAGCCATGGGTATTTAAGGCTACTTTTTTATTATTTACTAAAACTGTAATGAAATTTGGTACTTGAAATGTATCTTCAAATGTATTGGCGATACAGATACTATTTCATGCTTTTCGCCAAATACCTTCTACTCATTAAGTGAAGTTTGAAAACCATAATGTAAAAGCTGATTTTGTGGCGCACCAGTGGGAAAGTGCACGAATACATGTACACCACAAAGTGACAATCATGGCAGAAGATCTGTGACCCACTTCATCATAAGTTTGTGGTACGAAAGTCAAGCACGAACATTACAGACATCATGGTGATATTGTTTTGTAATATGAAAGTTATATGACATTGCGTAGTCAATACCAAAAGTTGACTGACTGACTGAGTATGGTTTTACGTCCCTTTTAGCAATATTCCAGCAATATAGGCGGGGGACACCAGAAATGGGCTTCACACATTATACCCATGTCGGGAATCAAACCCGGGTCTTCGGCGTGACGAGCGAACGCTTTAACCACTAGGCTACCCGACCGCCCCACCACAAGTTGAAAGGCTGTTCAATCATTTTGTTTTGTTCTGCTTTTACGCTGACATATAGACCAAGGGAGACAACTTCCAAGTGGGGTAACAATGGATGATACTTGTTCTGTCATCCCAGGGCCATGTTTTTTTTTGTATTTTCACACAAGTGAAAGTACTGGTTTTTGTTTTCGTGACAGTGAAACATGACTTTTGATGAAAAACAACAACATTTATAGCTGCAAATGTCACACTCATTTCTATAATAAATGTATTGTTTGCAGTTTTTACTTGCAGAGATTTTACTGAAAGCTGGCACCGATTTGACAAAATACCCAGGTGAGCTACAGTGCTGTGGCATAGAATTCTCATACTTGATACACTGATACCAAATGTAAGGATGTCCTTGTCTCTTGTAGGTTGATGGTGATGAGTTAAATGCCGACTTCGATTGAAGACACTGATGAAAAACAAGAAACAGTGAAGAATTTTCAAAGACTGAATCAGAACGATCAAGGCCAGATGGATGATAAAGACACGGAGTGTGGAGGATGTACACCAGCAGAGTGCCCTGTGAGGCACAATGACGGTGACACGTCATCAGACGGGGAAAACATGGAGCTTGCAGGTATTCCCATGGACAACCCTCAAGGAACAACTGAAGGAGCAGGCTGTACTGCGGAGGGTGAAGAAGACTTGTCACAGCCTGGAGCAGGTACTGTAGAGGTCAAACGCCAGACTGATGATCAAGAGTCATACCAACATGTAGAAAAAGGTAACCATGAAGCAATTTCACTTTTAAGCATCTCATTAAAAATACACAAATGCTTAATTTGCGGGACGTTCATGACATTCCTTTTTACAGTGACCTAAGGATGTCAGTGGCTGTTAAAGACATTTAGGTGTGCCCTGTGGAATTGAAGCATATGGACGGGAAAATATTTCTCAATTAATAAGATAGATACTAGTATTTTGAAATCCTGCTCTATTACTGGAATTAACATGTGCTTTCCAAAGAGAAACATTCCCCAATTGCACCTGAAGGACAACCGTAGTAAGGTGTATCTGCCGGATAGTCCCGTTACTACTCAGTGTATTTATTACTGCATTAACATTTTCAAGTACTGAAAATAGTGTGCATATTAGTTCCCACAAAATCGGGGGGAGCTTCCACAATCTTTTGTCCAAAGTTTTAACTAACTATAACTGTTTGTCACCACGGCTAAGGTGGTGATAATAAACCTATTTGGGCCTATCGAGCCTTGGCGAGCTAAATACATGGTGTTTATTCCTAATAAAGGATATTTACAATCCGCAAGCGTGCTAACCTCCTTATCCTATTATGTCATTCTTTTATTCTGTGCTTTAAAATCGCTTTCCCTGTCTCAGAAACATTACAGAAACATTGCGAGCTTCCTGGAATGCGAGCATTAATATTTATTATCCCACATGGTAAGTGATGTGACAGTGGGACAGCGACAGTAGCCAATATAGTTCCAACTAAAAACTGTTATTATACAGTGGCGAATCAACATATACGCAAAACAACAATTGTTTTTATTTGTCGTAGCAATTCGATGTCTGTTCATGATAGTTGTCAGTTTTCAGTATCACGAGAGACATCTAAGTTCAAAATGGAAAACAACCCTGAAAGCTTAAGTTATATGGTTTCTGTTACAGTCGCCCATTGCAAGATTATCAAATGTAAGAATGTGATAGTCAAGGGCGCCACGAATCTGAACGTTGGCGGAACGCAAAACGTTGTTACACCTCAGACCCGCCCGGAGGAAGAGGAGAAGCCATTAACTGTTGCAGCGCGGAAGATCAGGAGTAAGTTATCTGCTGTACTTGTTCTCACAAGGATCGATCAGCTGAAGGCGTTTTGTAGTAAATGCTGACTGTAATAATCTTGATATTTGTTCCAACTGTCACCTCGTTCATGACGATAATATACGTCGAGTTTTGTAAGCAAGGGATGATCCTAGCAAAGTCACTGAAGCATTATGTCTTGCTCTCTGTTACATTTCACATTAGGTTACATCCCTACAGGACAATATACAAATTGTAGCATGCCCATTTTTTTCGTCTAAGTCACTCAGATCAAATGTAAGTTGGTAAGTTGTTAGGACGTATTTGTTTCTCGTGATACAACATATCCAGTAGAAATTGATAAAACATCTATGGCAACTCCTAAGTACCTGGAAGATAATATCAACAAATATATATGAATCAGAATTTCTGCTCGGATTGGCAAATTGAAAACTAGGTATATTAGTGATCGGATATCAGTCAATGACCCTTTCACTGACTGACCTATAAATAAGGGAGACCACCTGGGGTGTTTTTCGTATTAAGATCTATGGATGAAGATGCTGAGTGAAACAACACCTCTCCATAAGACTGTATGACAAGGGGAATGACTTCAACTTCCAACAGTAAAATTTCCCTTTATGTCTAACAGGATACAAACCCTCACCTACTTGCAAGGACCTGGTATCATCACTATTTGATAGTGATACATAAACAGGTGTCTTGATATATAGACAGCATCATTCGGTGGACTGTTGCTTATGATTATCAAAACGGTTGTGTCACTTTAAGTCTATACTTTGGTATTCTGGCTGCTTCGTTCATATGAACATTCTGTTATGATCCACAATCAGAGCAGGCACTATTCAAACGTTACTTAAACTGTCTGCTCGCTGGTTGAGAACAAATAACTTGCAGACCTATATCGAAAAATAGAGAAATGCTGTAAAAAGAAGTGTTTCAATTTAAACACTTTGAAGGTGGCACAATCGATTCAAGAGGTTTTGTGTAAACTATTGATTGTATATCGTCAATATTCAACATTCACAGGATGTATTTAGGATTGTCCAAACTTTCGGTGAAACTATGTGATATGTTACTCACAATAATGATGAAGTATTGTCAAAATGTTAACCCACTCACGCACTGACACATTTCAAAATAAGGGATCTCAGACTCAAACTGTATGTGATTGATAATGGCCAAACTTTATTCCTTTAATTGGGGTCAAATTAAAATATGACAGACTGTATACTTTTACACATATATATGTCAAATGTGCCCTGTTTTCACAGAAAGAACGGAATCTAGCATTCAGTCAATGACTAAAGACATGGTGGAGACAGAAGCCCTGCAGAAAGTGATGGAGAAGCTAGACAGAGGAGCAACATGGGTGACAATTAAAGGAAGGCCAGGAGAGGGAAAGTCTACAATAGCCTACATGGCCCTCAAAGATCAGCACACTCAGGGGAGACAAGTGTACCAGGTGTTGTCACCAGAAGAGTTCAATGAGGTCATAACGGCCAGCACAAACCCTGTCATTATGTTAGATGACATATTCGGTGATCTAGAATTTGATGTAGCAGAATGGGCCAAGTGGAGACCAAGTCTACGTTCTTTTGTTGATATGAAGGATCCAGACAAGACCACTGAAAAAGACGTAATGGATAAATCCATTAACAGTAAAAAAGAGAGAACAAAGGATGAGCAAACAATTCTAAAGAGAACAGCACCAAACAAAGGCAAAACGATCATTATCCTCGTAGGCCGTGACTATGTGCTGAAATCCTCACTGGCAGACTTGGGAGAGATGGCAGATTACATATCTAGTCCCCAGTATGTGGTTGAAGTTTCCTCACTGAGAGACTCTATAGAACGAAGGAAGATATGGCATGTTCATGCCAAAACAAAAAACATAGACTTTGATGAGTCAACCGTGTCTCGGATATGTCAATCTGACTGTCCACACGGCTTTCCCCATGTGTGTGAAATGTTTGTCACAACATATGAAAAGGATCAGTCTCAGCTTCAAGTAGATACATTTTTTCAAGCGCCTCTAGAATTCCTCAAACAGACTCTAGATAAATTCCTTAAAGATGAGATAAAGATTTCCCTGTTCAAGGCTATGATTAAAAGTGATGGAAAGATTAGTGGACAAGAGTTGAAAGAGGAGGATGCCCATGGATACAAATACATAACAGCTGCTGATGATTTAGTTGGATCTTACCTCAAGAAGGAAGATGACACATACATGTTTGACCATCCCTCTATATACGACTGTGTCGCTTTAATTCTCAGTACAAACCAATCAAAGTTTGTCATCGAATTTTGCAGTTTGTCATTCATCCATCAGCGACTTCGTCTTGAAGCCTCCACAAGAACAGGGGGAAACGTTCCTGGTGAGACAGGTCTTGTTGCAAACATCTCATGGAACTATGCTAAACATCTAGCAAGAAGATTTGCGACTGAAATTTCAAGGAGCAATTTGTTGCATGTCTTATCGCACCAGGCATGTTGTAATCCAGAGTTTATTGACTTGCTAATGGACTGCCTGAAGACACAGTGTCACATGTCTGTTTCTGATATTCTCAAACTAGCTGATTACTCTTTAAAACAGACATTTTGTGAATTAATTTCCAGCAGCAAGTCACATCATCTCATCAAATTTATTATCGAGAAAGAAAACAGAACATTCAGCCAGAGTGAACTGAGAGACATTTTACTTGGGGTGTGCATGAATGCTGCTTGTAGTGTACTGACCTACATCAGTGAACACCAGCAGCTTGAGATAGATGCTAGATATGGTTGTATTGGAAAAACGCCACTTATGTTAGCAGCAGAAACCAAAGACAGAGTGTTTGTCAATCAGATTCTGGCCCTGTACCCTAACCTGAATGCACGAGACTATCTGGATCAAACAGTCGTTCAATACCTGTGTGCAAATGGCCTTAAATCAGCCGTGAAACATGCAATCACCATGGGCGTAGATGTTAATAAGCGTTATTTTCCAGATGTTTATTTTTTTCCACCAGAACCTTACCAACCCCCTCTATATGATGCCATAGAAAGTGGTCATGTTGGGTTGGTGGAACTGCTCCTGCAAACAGGATGTCATTTAGAAAAACAGAGAGGTCTTGAAAGTGCATTGAAGAGCCAGAACACGGATATGACGCGTTTTCTTTTAGACAGAGGAGCACAGGTTGATGGTGATGCTGTGTGCATTGCTTGTAGGTGGAATAACTTGCGTTTCATCAAGATGTTGTTTGAGGAGGGTGCTAAAGTTGACATGATTTCATCTAAAGGGGATACTCCTCTTCACGGTGCATGTGACCCTAATGTTGTCTCGTTTTTGTTGGATAAAGGAGCAAATGTGAATGTAAAGAAAAATACAGGTGACACACCACTTCATACAGCAGTAGCTCGGGGATCTACAGCGTGTGTGGATGTGTTACTGAAGGCTGGAGCTCATATGAATGAGCAGAATAATACAGAAGACACACCACTTCATACAGCAGTATTTCTGGACTCTAGAGCGTGTGTGGATGTGTTACTGAAGGCTGGAGCTCATGTGAATGTACAGAATAATAAAGGTGACACACCACTTCATACAGCATTATGGTATAGATATGCAAAATGTGTGGATGCGTTACTGAAGACTGGAGCACATGTGAATGTACAGAACAATACAGGTGACACACCACTTCATACAGCAGCAGGACAGGGATCTACAGAGTGTGCTGATGCGTTACTGAAGGCTGGTGCTCATGTGAATGTACAGAATAAAACAGGTGACACACCACTTCATACGGCAGCAGCAGGAAAAAAATGGGTATGTACAAATTGTGTTGATGCGTTACTGAAGGCTGGAGCTGATGTGAATGTACCGAATTATTCAGGTAACACACCACTTCATACAGCAGTAGTTCGGGGATCTACAGAGTGTGCTGATGCGTTACTGAAGGCTGGAGCTGATGTGAATGTACAGAATAAAACAGGTGACACACCACTTCATACGGCAGCAGCAGGAAAAATGTGGGGATGTACAAATTGTGTTGATGCGTTACTGAAGGCTGGAGCTTCTGTGAATGTTCAGAACAATACAGGTGACACACCACTCCATACGGCAGTAGTTCGGGGATCTACAGAGTGTGTGGATGCGTTACTGAAGGCTGGAGCTGATGTGAATGTACCGAAAAATGCAGGTGACACACCACTTCATACAGCAGTAGTTCGGGGATCTACAGAGTGTGCTGATGCGTTACTGAAGGCTGGAGCTGATGTGAATGTACAGAATAAAACAGGTGACACACCACTTCATACGGCAGCAGCAGGAAAAATGGGGGGATGTACAAATTGTGTTGATGCGTTACTGAAGGCTGGAGCTAATGTGAATGTTCGGAACAATACAGGTGACACACCACTCCATACGGCAGCAGCAGAAGCAACATGGGGATCTACAAGGCGTGTGGATCTGTTACTGGAGGCTGGAGCTGATGTGAATGTACAGAACATTACAGGTGACACACCTGTATTTCATTGACCAGGACATCAAAATCCTGATCAGAGGTATGCCACTGTGATTAGAAATAGTTGGTATTAATATATATTATCCCAGTGTCATTGCTGAGCGAAGGTTATGGATGTCGGACAGTTTGTGATATTAGCAGGCTCTTCTCCCTTTGTCCTTTGTCCCACTTCGTTACTGTTGGTGTGAGGAGTTTGTGCGATTGATGGATGGTTTGTTTTGTTTTAACACCCCACTCGGCAATATTCAAACTATATGATGGCGGTCTGTAAATAATCGAGACTGGATCAGACATTTTAGTGATTGATATCATGAGCATCGATCTTCGCAATGGGCGATATTTTCAATTCATCTTCCCTTCACTCGGCCGGCTGGTGACTGACTCAGACGGCCCAACCTTAAATTGACGGCGCATGTGGTACGAGCGGTACATGTTAATATCACACCTGTAGACAGTTGAACAGTATAGCCTGCATCTCTAGCGGCAACGGTCACGCTGGTGTATAGACATTATTCCATTTCGTCTAAACAAAGATCTATAAACATTCGAAGTGAGGCAGTGCGATCAACTGATCGTTCATTTCAGGTCGCTTTGTAAGATGGTTTGCATTCGGTACTGAAAATGATTGCCTTTGATGTTTGAAAATCACACTTTAAGAAATGAAGTAGATTTTCATTGTATACCTACCCATATCTATGTTGTAGTATCGCCAATCACGCTACATCATATGCATGCATTGCAGTGCAGCGGTAAGGTGATGGGGTACATGAAATGTGAAGGTCTTATGCAACGTAAAGTTGCCAGTTGCCTAAATGATGTGAATTTCGACAGCAGCACCTGTAAGTATTTGTCAGGTATATAACTGAGAGAAGTGTGAAATTTGTTCAAGAAATTACAAAAGAAAACAGGCACTTACAAATAATGTCATCAGCTAGATAGCATAATACAATTTTCACTATAAAAGAGTGAGTGAGTGAGTTTGGTTTTACGCCACTTTTAGCAATATCCCAGCAACATCACGGCGGGGGACACCAGACATGGGCTTCACACATTGTACCCATGTCAGGATTCGAACCCGGGTCTTCGGCGTGACGACCGAACGCTTTAACCACTAGGGTACCCGACCGCCCCCACTATAAAAGAAATGAACATCATTGAAATCGATTTTTATACTTAAGGGTTAGTGGGTGCATGTTGCATAAAAAAAGATTTTATTGATGAATGGTGGCTGTATTGTATTGCCAAATACTACCGTGATCATATTTCTACATGATAAATAAAAGAGGGCTGAAGTGCAGGGCCAAAAAGAGTTTATAACTTGGACATATTTAAGATCCCCACGGTATAACCATATGTACAATTGCTGAGTTTAATGAGAGGAATGCAGGTTCTTGCCTTCCGTTGTATGCACATTCTCTGTCAGAAAATAGATTGTTGCATGCATTTGTAGCAACAACTTGATTTTGATTTTATATTTTCAATGCCATTCCTATTCATCTGAAACTTTTTCAGTCATTCCTTTTAAATATTGTTTCAACTTCAATAAACTGGATTTGTATATAAAAAAACTTTGCCTTTGTTTTCATTGATTTTCAACTCCTGATAGCCATGTGAAGTTATAGTCATCTTGTAATGTACCGCAGCTTTTCCTTTTAACCGTTACTACAGCACAGTGACAAAAGTTATTTCCCATTGGATGTAAATTGACTTTTTAAAAATTGATTTGCTTGACTAGTCCAGAATGGTTGATTAGATTTGTACTAGTTTAGTACATACGTTTGGCCGAGACAACTCAGTGTTGTATAAACAAAGTGGGTGGGGCTTAATAGCTGATTTACCGGTAAATTTTAGAAGTTGTCTTGCCATACAGATGGAGGTGAAATAGGGTTTAACGTTGCGTCAAGATTATTGCAGATATGTAGCGACGTACATACACGAGTGTGTGTACGTTTGTATGGCTGCTTGTACTAGTCCTGACTGATGCCGATTTATAGTGCTAGTTCACTGAGATACCATGCCGCAGTTTAACATTAATAACCTATTCAGACACAGTATACTGACTTAGAGCCGAGCAGTCCTTGTTTTAGCCCCTTTAATGCCGAGCGCAAGACAGGGTAACAACAAGTACCATCTATTAACGTCTTTTGGTATGATGCGGCCGGGGATCGAACCACGGACCTTCCGCTCCCCGGGCGGACGCTCTACTACTAGGCGACGGAGGCAGTCATTTTCACTGCATTTGATACTCGTCATTGTATAGATGGAGTGGGGCCCGATGGGAGAAAGTGAATCCTAACTTGGAATCTATATAGACATATGCTTGACATCATAGCACAAATTCATTCATGTTTCCAAAATCTGCCTCAAAGTCTGTTTCCATCCCCGATGACCGGCTCGAAAAGGTCTTTGGGTCATAATTACCTAAAAGATCGTCATCCCCATCGTATATACCCAAGCTCATCGTTAGACAATACATCCATGCTTCCAGGACTGGCCCTTCTGTTCATCTGTCCGGCACTCCCAAAGGAGTTACATCCAGTGTGCTTTGACAATCATTGGATGATTGTAATACAGATAGAGCTCATTCTTAATTTCATCAGTCGTCTAAGGCGCTGCGATTCGCTGTGCAGAGTTGCGTCCCTTGGTAACTGTTAACGGCAGTGACGCTAATTGACCTCCCCTCTCACTGCCTCTCACTCACTTGATGATTCGACCAATATGTTTAGTGTAATCAGACAGGCACATGTACCCCTGCAAGCTAGTATTTGTTTTGCACGTGCAAGACGCTATTTGATTGTTTGTCATCGTACCCGACGGCGTCAATCACTATTCATAAAATCAATCACCGGATTGTCTGGACAATGGTGTTGATTGCGTCTTGTTTTGGGTGAGTGAGTGAGTTTGGTTTAACGCTGCTTTTGACGCATTTCAGTTGTATAACGGCGTGTCATCTTGAGATGGTGATATAAGTGATTGAAATATTCGGCGCTTACCACTTTGGGGAACTAAAAGAGCATAGCTACGGTACTGACAAACCTAGAAACATAATCATGGTGAACGGGAGATTAGCTTAAAGCCACATGCAGCCATATTCCAGCTATACGGAGACACGCGTCAACCAAGTCAGTGAGCCTGACCATCCGATCCCGTTAGTCGCCTCTGACGTCAAACATGTGTTGCTGAAGACATATTTTTTTTTGTTTTCCCGCCTTTACGGACCTGTGATGAATGGAAATAACTGATGTGAACCCTCTGAGTATTTATGACAAATGCACAGACAGGTCGTTTTATAGACGGTGACATGTTGCAAACCCAACGGCGAATGATCGACACACGCTTGGAAACTACTTTGCAACCGATCGACAACCAGTCACCGATAAAGCGTCTGTCGATCATCGCCTCATCACTGATCAAACACAACTGGGTTGCAAAGACTCAACACCCTTGTGCACATGAAACCGCTCACCGCATAGTGGAAACCAATCTTTGATTAAAATAACCCCGCTTGGGACCTCTAGGGCACCAATGAAACCTCCGAGCAACCAAATAGGTCGCAGCATGTTGTGCATGTTCAAAGGACTGGTTGCGACCGAATGGGTTTTGCGACCGCTCTGAAACCTTTCAGAGACATCCGACACCTCATTATGATCGTCAAATATTTTGGTCGCCAAGAGGTTGCATCGAGGTCGCATTGTCTGTGTGAGTGAGGTTTCACTGTGGTTGAGTAAATGTTTCACCTGACAAAATAGGGAAACATATGGTATATGTCAAAATAGGGATTTTTTTCCGACAGCATTTTTGTCACAGATGCGTCATATTTGGAAATATCCATGTCTACCGTAAGACGTTTGAGAAACATGTTAGTTTTGCAACACAGTGATGGCAGTTTTAGTGTCCCGGCCCAAACATTTCCTTTGTATAAGGAGCTAACCTTTTACATAAACATCCAGGGTACAACCTATTGGTCACCCACAGCAACAGAGTTAACGCAACAATATTTAGAGAATCCATAATTTAATGAAGAACAATAGATGAAATGCATTGTTGTTTACATATTGATATTCAATCGTTATATTGAATCGTTAACACATATATACTGACCCGCAAAAGAAACGTCACTATGGCTAGATATATGACCAACCTTATTTGTCCAAACACTGTAAACATATTTTGAGACATATTAGAAAGATGGAACTTGGCAAAACTGATCATCAAGGTTGAAACTAAAGTGTCAAATGTTCTTTAAGTGAAATACAACACTAGTCTCTGAGAAAATGGCATCACAAGTCAGTATCTCGTGTGTCCGCCATGTGCTTTGATGACTGCCGGGCAACATCGATACATGGAATGGATGAGGCGGTTGATGAAGGCCAAAGACACTTAAACCTACACTCTAAGAAAAATCTGACGCAGCTAAGCTGCAGTTGTCGGTCTTGGTCGGACGTCATACCGCCGTCTTTGAATCTCGTCCCACAGGTGCTCAATGGTATTTAAATGGGGACTGAGGGCAGGTCACTGCATGGTTCTGATGCCATTCTGCTGGAGGAAGTCTCTTGTTGCTCACGCAGTGTGAGCACGGGCGTTCTCATGCTGCAACTCGGCGACGTACCAAATGAGGTATGGCGTGTGATCTCAAAACTTGATCAATGTACCGAGCTGTTGTGACACCATTGCCTGGACCGATGGTCTGGACGACCACAGGGCCGACCCTCTGTGCAAGACCAATTCCATCCCACACCATGGTGCTCGGACCACCCCATGAGTCTCTCTCAACAACACAAGCATCCGAATAACGTTCCCCATGGCATCGCCAAACTCTCTATGCCATCTGCTGTTGAGATACAGTATCGGCTCTCGTCTGAAGAGAGGACGCTTCGCCACTGCTGGTGGCGTCAATGCTGCTGCTGTTTTGCCTACTGAAGACGGTCCCGGCAATGACGTGGTGTCAGGATGGGTCCTCTTTGAGGCCTGTAAAAGTGGAGGTGTCTGCTTGTCAATCGTCGACGCATGGTGTCCGCACTGATGTGTGGCTGGTGTGTCCCCATGGTCTGTCGAGCAGTTTCCGCAACAGTAACAAAGCGATCTTGAAGATGCTGTCGCACAATCTGCCGATCCTGCCGATGAATGTTATCCGACCTGGGTGGATTTTTACAGGTCAAAAATTGGGGGAACACATATGCTTTTCAATTTGCATGGAACTCACGTACATCGGGTTACCATGGCCGTTGCCGTGATACGTTTGGGTGAACGGTTTTTTTGTCATATGCTTTGTTTTTTATCATCAAATTTCATTTTCCCAGAAAAGGTAATGTCAATTTTTAGAAACTTTGACAAAAATTACACAGATCTTAAAATGTAAACTTTTCATGCAATGCTACTTGGGGTGACGTTTCTTTTGCGGTTCAGTATATATGCTGTGATTTGAAAGGACATAAGAAAATACAAACATAAAAACGGAATCAGCGAGACGTCACAGTGAGTGAGTGATTTTGGTTTAACGCCGTTTTTAACACTATTCCAGTTCTATCACGGCATGTCAGCTTAATGTTGGAGAAAAGCCTGAAGTGATGCAGGTCTCAGACGTATGGTACTGACAAACCTAGAAACATAATCAGGGTGAACCAGGTTTCTGGCGTGTCCAGGGGACGCAACTCTGCACAGCGAATCGCGGCGCCTCAGACGACTGTGCCACAGGTTCCCATGCGAGACGTCAGAAGAGAACACACCTCTCCAATTATGTGATTTTGCTAACAAATTTGTTCATAGATAATAGTTGTGTAACACTTAAAGATAACTTACGTATAGCTGTACATATATTGAAATTGTTGATATATTGTTATTATTGAATTGTAAACGAGTGAGTGAGTTTGATTTAACGCCGCTTTTAACAGTATTCCGTTATTTCACGGCGTGTCAGCTTAATGTTGGAGGAAAGCCTGAAGTGATGCAGGTATCAGACTTTCACCACTTTGGTGAAACCCACGAGCACGGGTATGGTGCTGACAAACCTGAAAACATCATCGGGGGGAACCGGGATTCGTACCTACAGTCACAGTTTTCTGGCGTGCCCAAGGGACGCAACTCTGCACAGCGAATCGCGGAGCCTCAAACGACTTGGCCACCCGTGCCCTTGTAAACGAAGGGAACAAAGGACTGTCGTTGTGATGGGAGATGACAGCAAGCACCTGTCATGCAATTGAGAAAAAGGTACTTATATAATTGTGTAATGCAAGAGTGTAGTAGTATTGTCGAAATGGCGCTCTTGGAATTTGCCCATGGAACCAGGAAATAACTCACTCGACCTGTGTTCAAGTTTCATCCTCTTTCCTATATCTATGCTTTACAGATTTACGGTTTTATCAGTGTGTTATTGTTAATATATTTGGAGAGAGTATTTCAAGATAATGTTCACCTTATTCAGTCGCTATAAAAGAAATTGCATCATGCCCTTTCACGTTGGGTGATACATCGAGGTAGAACTTTAACACAGGCTCAGCTACTCGTGGGTTTGCGGAGATAATGTTAAATCATCACATCACAACTGCTCAAAGCTTTCATCATAATGCTAAATTACGAACACCTACATGACAGCCCCCTGTGGTCTAGTGGTAGAGCGTTCGCCCGGAGAGCCGAAGACCCGGGGTTCGATCCCGCGTCATGTAAAAAGACGTTAGAAGATAGTACCTGTTGTTACCCTGTCTTGCGCTCGGCATGAATTTGTGAAACAAGGACTGGGCTGTTCGGAGTCATTATACTGTGTCTGAGTGGGGCATTCATGTTAAACTGCGGCATGGCATCTCAGTGGGTTAGCACTATACATGGGCATCAGTACAAGCAGCCACACACACACACACACACACACACACACACACACACACACGAGCATGCAGGTCGCTATATAAGTGCAATAATCTTCGACGCGACGTTAAACCCCATTTCACCTCACCTCACCAACTAACACCTAAACGTGGACATTTACAATATGGAACAAAATACAGAGAAAATGTAACATGATGCAGGCTGACACGTATACAATGTGTGCAGCAGGGACCACCGGCTGATTACAATTAGCAACCAGTTCTGATGTACAGTAAACTACGGTTATTACGAATTCAAAGGGACCACAAATGTTTGTTCGTTATAACCGTAGTTCGTTTCAACATATATTCATCATATATACAGGAAATGGCCTGGACCAAAAAAACAGTTGGTTATATCCATCAGTTCGTTATAAACGTGTTCGTTATAAACGTAGGTTACTGTGTAACATTCGGATGTTGTTACAGGTGGGGCGTCCCTTATGCGTGCAAGGAGCCATCGGTCTTGGAATGTCAGATTCGCTCTAATTATGTTTATCCACACAATACCCCTGCTCGTTGGTTTCACCCAAGTGATAAACGCCTGAGGTGAGGTGAGGTGAAATGGGGTTTAACGTCGCGTCTAAGATTATTACACTTATATAGCGACGTGCATGCACGTGTGTGTGTTTGTGTGGCTGCTTGTAATAGTCCGGACTGATGCCGATTTATAGTGCTAGCTCACTGAGATACCATGCCGCAGTTTAACATGAATTCCCCACTCAGACACAGTATAGTGACTCCGAGCCGACCAGTCCTTGTTTTAGCCCCTTAATGACGAGCGCCAGACAGGGTAACAACAAGTACCATCTTTTAACGTCCTTTGGTATGACGCGATAAACGCCTGAGACCTGCACAACTATGAAAGTTGGTTACCTCAATAACACTGGCTGTTTGTTTGTTTGTTTGTATTTTAACGTCGCACCCAGCATTGTTCCAGATATATGACGGTGGTCTGTAAATATTCAAGTCTGGACTAGACAATCCAGTCACTGATATTATATGAAGCGACCGCGTCGTCGGGGCAAATTGACACGACATCAACGACGTCACGGAGTCTGACCAGAGCGATCCACAAAGTAGCATCTTGCGTCCAGCATAGTTAATTATACAACAAATTATACCAGGGGATCCACACGTACGTGTTGATATAGGGGGAACGCACCTACGATATGTACAGCATGCTTTGATGAACGGATTACCAGGGGTATCAATCTATTGGTGCGTAAACAACACTTTTACACTGTGTAACATATTGTTGAAGCACGGGTAACTCATATACACTGTGTAGCATGTGTGGTAGATGTTGTATAATATGTATTGATGTAAGGGTAACACGTGTACTATATGTGTTGTTGTGAGGGTAACACGTGTACACTATGTGTTGATGTAAGGGTAACACGTGTACACTATGTGTTGATGTAAGGGTAACACATGTACAATATGTGTTGATGTGAGGGTAACACATGTACACTATGTGCTGATGTAAGGGTAACACGTATATAGTATGTGTTGATTTAAGGGAAACACGTGTACACTATGAGGCTACCCGACCGTCCCTTTAGATTGACAGAAATACATACAACAAAGAAATCATCATATTAATCATAGTGACTGCCGGTTTGTAACTAGCATCAGCTGGTTTCCAATTCAGCCCTTTGAAGTTATGAGGTCATACACTTTCATGTGTTTTCTACGTTTTGCTATCATCGCTGATGTGTACCCATACTTGTCCTTGGCGTGAATATCCACACTATCTTGAGAAAGAATATGTTTCACCATTTCCACATGGCCACGGAAAGAGGCCACGTGCAGGATCGTGGAACCATTACCATCAACTGCAGACACATCACCTCCTTCACTAACAAGCAAGTCAAACACGTCTTTATGTCCCTCAGCTGCGGCCACCATCAATGGTGTCCATCCATTTGTTCTTTTACTGTTGATGTCCGCAATGTTCTGAGAGAGGATGTACTTTACTATCTCCACATTTCCTCCAACACAGGCTAAATGTAGGATGTTATTACCATTACCATCAAATGCCGACACATCACCTCCTTTACTCATGACTAAGTCAAACACGTCTCTATGTCCCTCAGTTGCTGCAAACATCAAGGGTGTCCTCCCGTGCTGCCCTCGACTGTTGATGTCCAAAATGTTCTGTGAGAGGATGTACTTCACCATCTCCACTTGTCCTCTAAGGCAGGCCAAATGTAGGATGTTATCACCATGTGTATCCACAAGTGAAGCATTGCCCCCTTTACTCATGACTGAATCAAACACGTCTCTATGTCCCTCAGTTGCTGCAAACATCAATGGTGTCCTCCCGTATAACCCTCGACTGTTGATATCAAGAATCTTCTGTGAGAGGATGTACTTCACCATCTCCACATGTCCTCTAAGACAGGCCAAATGTAGGATGTTATCACCATGTGTATCCACGAGTAAAACATTGCCTCCTTTACTCGTGACTAAGTCAAACACGTCTCTATGTCCCTCAGTTGCTGCCAACATCAATGGTGTCATCCCGTGCTTCTTCTCTCTACTGTTGAGGTCAACATGACCTTCAGTTAAGATGTGTTGCACTCGGCTAAGATCACCCTGCCTGCAGGCTTCATGGAGTTTGTTGTCTCCAGATTTTCTCTTCTGATCTCGTTTCTGCTGTTGAGATCTCGAAGGATAGAAGTTTTCTCTATCTGGAAATATGTTTATTGAGATTTGTTTCACCACAGCTAGTGAAGAAGTACCGGTACTATTTATGTTTACATTCTGAAGCACATTTGTTTCATCACAGAATGGAACAAATAATTGCTTTTTCCCAAACTGCTTTGCATAAACATATAAATTATTCAGTCTCATCATATCCCAACATAATTTCTGGCATCTCAAATATAACCTAAGAAAGTTGGATATCAAGGTTAAATCAATAGATAGTTTCGTTATCTGACAGTCTAAACATTCTAATAAGTCATTGGAAATATTTCTTGGGAGGTATTGATTCTTTTTCTAGAAGTGCAGATATTTTCCCTTAAAGTCTTAAGTAAAATAGTACTTGGAAACCAAAAAAAAGATAACTGGAAGGCTATTACCTTTTACACAGACAGCTTTACATAAACATATAAATTACTCAGCCTCATCATATCCCAACATAATTTCTGACATCTCAAATATAATTTAGGAAAGTTGGAAATCAAGGTTAATTCAATATATATTGTCCTTATCTCACAGTCTAAACATTCTATTGGTGGATTGGCGATAATTCTTGGGAGGTATTGTTTCTTTTTCTAGACATACAAATATTTGCCCTAAAAAGAGAAATACAATGTTTGCCAATCAACATCATATTCAAAAACAATTTCTAAAATTGTCTCAAGTTCAGGAAAATTGAAATCCAGTTAAACTCGACAGATATTTTATACAATGCATATTTCCACTCCAACCCTTAAGTAAAAAAGTACTTGAAAACAGACAAAAGATAACTTGAAGGCTATTACCTTTTACACAGACAGCTTTTCCAGATCGACTCTCTATACACCTAGAACCGAGACTGCAAGACATGTCTGTGCAGGGACCAGCGGGTACCTTTAAACAGAAGCAAACTGTCAACTGTGTGTTCTCGAATTTCTCCTCCAAAGTAGCACACTGTGTTGTGCTCTGTCAGTTCTTGAAAAGCATCGGTCTTTTGTCCTGGTTGAATAATAATAAAAGCGACAAAAATCGTTCCATATCCATATGAAATCTCTGCTTAAAGCATGAACATGTGTTCACGAACATGTGTTTATGAATCACTATGACATAGTGATGAAGTAAGCGAAAAGATGAACGTATCCTGACCCACCGGTGGTACCCGTCACACATGCATTAATTTGTACTTGACGTTGTCTTTCTAGATATATACTGACGAAACAATGCAACTGTGCTTCACATTAAGTTCAATATATATATAGTTATTCTGTAATGAAATACTTTATCTTGTAATACATGTTCATGAAGGTATTTCCTCGACTTTAAGGTCGTGATACACAATGCGTACGTGCATGATCATGCACGGAGCAAAATATTAATGTTTGCATGTTCGTTGGGGGCATGATACTCACACACGTGTTCTTGTTCACGTAAATAGCACAAAGTGATATTTTAGGTACCAGGTGTTCAAGAAAACCTTTTTGTAAGGCAATGTCGGGGTAATGGGCAGAAAGGAAGCTGCCGGATAATTTTAAGTTCATCAAAACACAGTAGTATCCCTTTGTTGACGATATCAGCAGCATGTAGATACGTTATGTACAAACGCGTGGCGTCACATCCACAAGACAACCGTATTCGGTTGGTGCATCTACGGAATCGATACCAAACTGCCACATTAACAGCTCAGACAGTCCCTGGGTTGAGCCTGGTTAGTGGCAGAACCGTACGCAAGTTGTTGATACGCCGAAGATTGATTCTACGTCACCGTCAGCCACGCCTAGCTTGGTGTAGACATCTGAGGTTCAGAATCAGGACTGGAACAGTATACTGATGAGTCCAGATTTAATCTGAACAGGTCTGATGGTCGTGCAAGGGTCTACAGGCGTCCAGGAGAACCATCTATTGTCTTCAATGCGCCGCCGCTGCCTTGCCTGCATCAAGGCAAATGGTGGTCGCTCCCGTTATTGACATTGTTAATTGAGTTCTCACACCACCCTGTTAACAGGTATTGGTTTTGTCAGTCACTTTGATCCCCAGGATGACCAATATTATGTTGTTATTGTTTATTTAACATTTACATCACTTTATATGAAACACAGTTACATGTTTCCGTTAGTATATATATTTAATGGCTGGTTGGGTAGCATTGTGGTCAAAAGTTTGTTTGCTGAAGACACAGTATAATGTGTGAAGATCATTTCTGGTTTCCTCGATTTGTGATATGAATGAACTGTTGCCAAATGCGGAGTAAAACACATCTCATTCACTCTTGATATTTGACAGTAAATTACTTTTAATTCACCTAACGTAAATTGAGTTTAAATCTTAAAGACCGATATAGAATACAGTTTTATATACTTAATGTTTGTTCTTCAATATGATGTAATTACATAAGGAAATAATTTCTGGAATGGAATTAAACCAAATGAGTAAAATCACCTACATTCTTAAATAGGGTAGGTTGGTCGGATAGCCTAGTGGTTAAAGCGTTCGCTCGTTACGCAGAAGACCCGGGCTCGACTTCCGACATGGGTACAATATGTGAAGCCAATTCCTGGTGTCCCCCGCCTTGATATTGCTGGAATATTGCTAAAGCGGCAAAACCACACTCACCCACTCACTCACTCACTCAAACAGGGTAAATATATTTACAGATAAAATCAACTTACATCTGAATGATTCTTTTGAAGAACAATAAATCCTTCATTCTTCTCAATTGGCTTCGATTCACCAAGTCGTAGATGACAAGTTAACGTTTCATTACTGAATTCGTATCCCAAACAGCCGCCAGATTCCATGCATTTTATTTTGAGGTATTTGATGCCAATGTTCCTGATAGTAGAAGAACGCTCCGTCTCCTTCTCTGTTGTCTGAACTTCACTTTGTTTCCTGCTGGATGTTACCAGTCCTACCATTGAGTGAACAGCTGCTGATACCAGGAGCAGCTCCCGAAACACCCCTGAACACAGTGGAGTCATCTTCAAGTCTGCACAGAAGATGCACCAACTACCGACCACACACAGCTGTGTACGAATACACGACTGCTGATCGACACAACCAAGGTAGACCTGTTGACTTATGTATATGGAAGTCATGTGACAGATAACGTTACCGCTGTACATCTTACATGCGAGATCAATACTGCAAAGTACATTCTGGAACCATAAACGAAAATGTCATCTGAAGTTTACTGAGAAAACAATAAGTGAAATGCTGAACGTCTTTTACTTGAACCTCCGGGTATATATATGACATTGTTCATTAATTGTCAATTAGCCAATTCCCTTCCTCTCATGTCCCCACCTGAACTAGCCATACAAGAGACTAGTGAGACAGCCTCATCTGTTTTATGTTTAGATCTATGCATAAAGAATCAGAGTGACAAAAACTCTCTCCACAATTCTGTATGGCTCGAGTGAAGTCTTCATGTTTTCAATATATGTCAGGCAATATTCCAGCCTTTGGACACACACACGTGCATGCACGTCGCTATATAAGTGCAACACTCTTGGACGCGACGTTTAACCAAATTTCACCTCACCTCCAGCCTCTGACGTCAATATTACATGCGAGTCTTGCTAAAAGAGTTACAACATTCAAGGTCTTAGTATTGCTTTCAACGTTTTTATGGTTTCGCGGTGGAGGGCATTTCCAAATGTTCCCAGATTGTACAAGTGAGCATTTGACTTGCCTTTGCATGTGTTTGTGACGGATGCCACCGCAGGGGTAGGATAGGCTCACCACTTGGTGTCATCACTAATTAATGGTGATTCTTAAACACATACTAAGGGTATAGTTGTATACGTGCAGCTGATTCTGCTTTGGCCAGATCTTGGTTTTGTCGCCCTTATTTTCATTAGCAGTAGGCAATGTATGCACGCCAAAATTGCCCTAGTGTCGGAAAATTCAGAACCTTAAACACTTTTAATTAGTTCGGTTTGAAATTTGTTTTGAGACTAGATATTTTTTTCAGCTATAACTGTAAAATCAGACATATTTTTTAAATTAAAACCATGAACCTAAATACTTTTTTTCTAAAAATACAACACATTGTAGCAATATGATTTTTGTGGCAGACAATTTCTTCTTTTTTTCCAAAAGTTTGAAACAATAACAATTTTTTTTCAAAATTGGTCCGGGGCAATTTCTTTTCAAACAAATCCTAGGCTCCCCACTGGAGTAATCATACAACATATAATTTGTCCAGTTGTCAAGGTGACAGACATGGCTTGCAACCTAGGCACTGACCAGTTAACAAGGTCAGTAAACAAGGTTTACGTACGTTAGCCTTCAACCTATATATTGTACAGAAACAGGGTGGCAGACGTTAGCCTACAACCTATATACTGATCAGTAAACATGGTGACAGACGTTAGCCTGCAACCTATATACTGATCAGTAAACAAGGTGACAGCCGTTAGTCTACAACCTATATATTGATCAGAAACAGGGTGGCAGACGTTAGCCTACAACCTATATACTGATCAGTAAACGAGGTGACAGACGTTAGCCTACAACCTATATATTGATCAGAAAGAGGGTGGCAGACGTTAGCCTACAACCTATATACTGATCAGTGAACGAGGTGATAGACGTTAGCCTACAACCTATATACTGATCACTACACAAAGTGACAGCCGTTAGTCTACAACCTATATACTGATCGATAAACAATGTGACAGACGTCAGCTTACAGCATATATATTGACCAGTAAACTATCAAAGTTAATGAGCGGACATTAGCCTACAACAAAATTAAGTATGGTGACGAATAAACAATTTTGTGCCCATTAGCCTATATCCGTTACCCAATACAATATAATTAGAAGGATCCGTTACCCTATAACATATATTGTGACTAATATCAGTTACATTAAAACATGTATTGCGACCATCATCCGTTACCTATAACATATATTGTGACCAGCATCCGTTACCCTATAACATATATTGTGACCAGCATCCGTTACCTATAACATATATTGTGACCAGCATCCGTTACCCTATAGCATATATTGTGACCAACATCCGTTACCCTATAACATATATTGTGACCAGCATCCGTTACCCTATAACACATATTGTGACCAGCATCCATTACCCTATAACATATATTGTGACCAGCATCCGTTACCTATAACATATATTGTGACCAGCATCCGTTACTCTATAACATATATTGTGACCAGCATCCGTTACCTATAACATATATTGTGACCAGCATTCGTTACCTATAACATATATTGTGACCAGTATCCATTACCCTATAACACATATTGTGACTAGCCTCCTTTATCCTATAACATATATTGTGACCAACATCCGTTACCTATAACATATATTGTGACTAGCCTCCTTTATCCTATAACATATATTGTGACCAACATCCGGTACCCTATAACACATATTGTGGCCAGCATCCGTTTGCCCGTGACATATATTGTGACCAGCATCCGTTACCCTATAACACATATTGTGACCAACATCCATTACCCTGCAATATGTTGCTTAGTTTTTTTCAGTTATTACTAAAATGTGATAATATTATCTGCCAGCAAACATGTAAATGCTTTTTTATGTTACCTATGAACATCAAATTGTACGGCAAAAAAGGAATCAAATTTCATCTTGGAGATCTACTAATGTTCCCACAGTCTGTTCAGTCAGTTATAAAATCTGAAAGTGGGTCGGGGGAAAACTGACATATCATCCCAAACCATTGGTATTTTTTCTATGTTTCCAAAATCTGACAATACATTTAAGGAATCACTATTATTCTAATAATCCAAATGAACCAAATGATTAGAATCAAATGTTATGTCTAGACCAGGCATATTAAATGTGTGTTGGTTCAATCAAATAATTCTCATTTATCTTATGGTCGGATATTAGTGAATGCCTGATACGCAGTTATCTCAAATCATCTTGATTCCTCATATTTAACAATCTGGATTTCTCATATTTAACAAGGAAAAACAAACCAAAATGGTTTTTTGGCACAATATAAGCTTGTTTTGCGTCCACTTCAGTTATTCAGACTTTTTTAAAACTTATCATGGTTTGGGTGTTTTTTGTCAGTCAAAAGCATCTAATCAAATTTTAGGAGAAAATACATTTCTTGCTTGTAAACAAATCGTACAGTAGTTTTATTTTGAAAAATATTGGCCATGTTGTTAAGTGAGTGAATAAGGATTTTCACTTCCTCGTCCTATTTAAGTGAAAAGTGACAGGAAGCACATCTGTTGAGTGAGTTAATAAGGCTTTCAACTTCATTTTCCTCATTAAGAGAAATGTGACAGGAAGCACATCTGTTGAGTGAGTGAATATGGCCTTTCACTTCATCGTCCTATTTAAGCAAAAGTTGACAGGAAGCACATCTGTTGATTGAGTGAATAAGCTTTTTTACTTCATTGTCCTAATTAAGAGAAATGAGACAGGAAGCACATCTGTTGAGTGAGTGAATAAGGCTTTTCACTTCCTCGTCCTATTTAAGAGAAATGTGGATGGAAGCACATCTGCTGGGTGAGGGAATAAGGCTTTTTTGCTTCCTCGTCCTATTTAAGCGAAAAGTGACAGTAAGCACATCTGTTGAGTGAGTGAATAAGCCTTTCACTTCCTTATCCTATTTAAGTGAAATTTGACCTCATCACATCTGTTGAGTGAGTATGTATGGCTTTATACTTCCTCGTCCTATTTAAGAGAAATGTGACAGTAAGCACATCTGTTGAGTGAGTGAATAAGCCTTTCACTTCCTTATCCTATTTAAGTGAAATTTGACCGGATCACATCTGTTGAGTGAGTAAGTATGGCTTTATACTTCCTCGTCCTATTTAAGAGAAATGTGATAGGAAGCACATCTGTTGAGTGAGTGAATAAGCCTTTCACTTCCTTATCCTATTTAAGTGAAATTTGACCGGATCACATCTGTTGAGTGAGTAAGTATGGCTTTTCACTTCCTCGTCCTATTTAAGAGAAATGTGACAGGAAGCACATTGTGACCAGATATCCATCCCCGGAGATGATTTCAGTTTCAGCATATATCTTCACCATAAAGAAAGGAAATAAACTGAGTGGCTCAAAGCCTGAAGTAAATAATTCAATAATATTGTGATAATATTCCTACTTCTATAACATTTTTTTTTATAAACAATGCATATTGCCTCTACAGAAAACCACATTCTTCTGAAATATAGAAAGTTTAGGAAAATGAATCACAGTGAATAACATTACATGCTACTTTAGAACAATCTTAAAGGTATCAATTCATCTGACATGTCTAAAACTGAAGCAGTACATTCTGTGAAAACAATGTTCAAAGGTTACGATAGATGTTGCAGTGATAGTACTGGAATGTTGAAATTGACATCGCTTTGTCTCAATTGGGTGCCTTGTTGACATCTCCATGTGTATCATGTGCTATTCAGCCTTCACCTTCTGCTCTCCAAGCCTCGCTTTCAAACCGGAAGTAGTGAAGTGTGGGAAAAGTCAATAACACGTATTGCGACCAGCATCTGTTACCCTATAACATATATTATGACAAGCATCCGTTGACCTATAACATTCTAGAATTCGAGACAAACAGTACATGATTATGAATACTACAAGTCCACAAACTGCAAATACAGATGGAGTGTTCCGAAGCAGACATATTTACTTGCTGAAAATTAACGTTGAATATGTTGGACCGTAAATAATCATACATTGCATAAGATCATTCATAATCACTACTACGTCTACGTCTACGTCTACTACGTCTACTTCGACTGCCAGAGCAGGGCGGGGCGGGGCGGGGCGGGGCGGGGCGGGGCGGGGCGGGGCAGGGCAGGGCAGGGCAGGGCAGGGCAGGGCAGGGCAGGGCAGGGCAGGGCAGGGCAGGATAAAGGTAACTCATGTGCCGTGGTGCCTATGTTGTAAATGCATATCCACTAAATCTTCACAATTACCATGGATAAGAGCGTCAGATTGATCGTGGTATTTG